ACTTCACTCAGAATGATCTTTTCTAGATCCCACCACTTGCCTGCAAATTTCATGATTTCCTCCTTTTTGATTGCTGAGTAGTATTCCATTGTGTAAAAATACCACAATTTCTGTATCCATTCCTCCGTTGATGGACATCTGGGTTGTTTCCAAGTTCTGGCTATTACAAATAAAGCTGCTATGAACATGGTTGAGCAAATGTCCTTTTTGTGTACTTGAGCAAATTTTGGGTATATACCTAGGAGTGGTATAGCTGGGTCTTTAGACTTTCTTTTCATCAAGGGACTATGAACCAGGTTTTCTCTTACCCTGGAATTTTTTTAGTTATATTATGTGTACCCAAGGTAGAGATACCCTGTGTATCTCTAAAGAAATGATGACATGATCATGGAAGAGTGACTCATGCTATTTGGTTGTATTAAATAAGTTTTGTTGATTTCTTTCCTTCTTTTTGTATTTGTTTGTGTTTTGAGACAGAATAGCCTGCTCTGTAGCCCTGGATGGCCTGGACCTTGCTACATAGATGAGGCTTGTTTCAAATGTGAAGTGATTTTCCTGCTTCTGTCTCGTGAGAACTGGGATCATAAGTGTGAACTGCCATGCCTGATGCCCAGCTACTGTTAATGTCTTGATTGGGCTCAAGGGCTGGGAATGGAGCTCTGGAAGAATGGCAGCGTATGTGTGCAGTGTCCTAGACTCTATCTAGTACATGCACAACAGTAACGAGGTGACAGCAAGACTCTGACAGCTGTGTGACATGACACTCACCATTTGAGCAGTTTAAGTTTTTAAATGTTCTTGTTAAAATTATGAATCTTTTAGAGCTAAATCTTAAAAACTTTTACAGATAAAATGGTAGTGTCAGGAACTTAATTCAAGATATTCTAGGAGGAGGAAGGTTGACTCAGCCAAGAAGACCTCTAACTTTATTCAACAGACAAAATGATCTTTTTCCAGGGTTAACTTTTATTAGATAGTGTCTTTTCATTTTTTATTTATGTCTGTCTGTTTTACTTGTAGAACTCTCAGAGATTGAGCCAAATGTATTCCTTCGTCCATTTTTGGAAGTTATCCGCTCTGAAGACACTACTGGTCCTATCACCGGCCTGGCACTCACCTCTGTCAACAAGTTCCTGTCCTACGCACTCATAGGTAAGCGCTTAGGCTTTGATGGACATCTGCAACACTCCACTTCCTGATTCTGATAGTTGCGCATGCCTCAAACCAGCTGCTGTTCCCCACTGTCCCTTTCCTAGCCTGACTTATTCCTCATCGTGCTGATTGTGTCCATGGAGGGCAAAAAGAGAGGACACTGCTTGGGACTCTGGTTTCTACCACACTTTGGAGAGTTAATAGTATAGTATACCCTTGGTGGTTTGGTTTGCCTTTTTATTTATTTGTATGGGGAAGTAGGGATAAGTGGGCATGCATACAGAAAGGTGTCTATGTGGAGGTCAGAGGACAATTTGTTGCATAGTTTTCTTCTTCCATCATGTGGGTCCCAAGGATTAAACTCCAGTCATAAGCTTGACAGCAAGTTCCTTTACACACTGAGCCATCCCTCTGGCTCTGGTTTTCCAAATATGATTTGTGCTTATTATAAGAAAACAACACAGAGACATCTAAAAGAAAGTAAGTGTCTTTTCTTTTAGTGCTGAAATTCTTCTTTAGGTAAATAGTGTTAATGACATGGCTTGAATTGTTCTTTATGTTTTTCTTGATGCATATAAATGTCAACACACCCATCTTTTTAAAAAAATTATTTATTTTTATGTTATGTACATTAGTGTTTTGACTTCATGAATGTCTGTGTGAAGGTTGTCAGATCCCTGGAACTGGAGTTACAGACAATTGTGAGCTACCATGTGGGTGCTGGGAATTAAACCTGGGTTCTCTGGAAGAGCGGTCAGTGCTCTTAACTGCTGTGCCATCTCTGCAGCCAACACACACCCATCTTAAGACAGGTCTTTCTGTGTAGCTTGGAACTTGCAGTCCTTCTGCCTCAGCCTCTCTAAGTATCGGATATAGGCAGTATTATCTTCCTTTTTATTTTTTTAAAGATCCATTTCTTTTATTTCATGAGTATGTGCAGGTACCTGACTGTATATACGGGCACCATGTGCATGCAGGGGCCCACAGAGGCAGGAAGTGGCCAGATTCCCTTGAAACCGTAGTTACAGGCATTTATGAGCATCCTGATCAAGGTGCGGAACCGAACCTGAGTTTCCTGGAGGAGCAGAGTATTCTTTACCAATGAGCTAGCCATCTCTCCCACCTGGTTATCCTTTTTTCAAAGATGGGAGAAAGGATTTATACTATTTCCACTTAACAGTGTTTATTTGATGTATACAATATAATTATATAGCTTATTTATTGTTTTCATTGAGGTAAAACACACACACCCATTTTTCCTTTTAACTTTTTTTTTTTTTTTTTTTTTTAAGACAGACTCTCATGTCATTCAAGCCAACCTCAGATTTGTTATGTCAAGAGGGTTACTGTGAACTTCAGGTTCTCTTTGCCTTTACCTTCCCATACTGGGATGACAAGCCTGTGCTGCCACATGCAGTTTTATAAAAAATTGGTGTCAAACAGTGGCTTCGTGCATTTTAAGCAAGCAGCCAACAACTCCAGCCCCCTTTAAACAAGTTTAAGTAAATAATTCCACAGCACTGTATAACTATTTCTACCAACTATTTCTCAAACTTCTTCATGCCCCAAACAGGAATTTTAATTATGAAATAATAATTCCTCCTTTCACCTCCTTCATTTCTGATATAATGATGTCTTTTATTTAATATTTATATTATTCTCCTTTTGAAACCATAATAAATATGCTGAAATAAACATCCTTGTTCCTGTGGCCTTATTCACTAACTTTACTTCCTTGTGAAGTATTTCTGAAGTTAGAATTTCTGATGTAAAGTCTATATATATCACATTTTTATAAGTGCTACATTTTATAGATTGCTTCTCCTGTAGGTTGGAGCATTTACATTCCTACTAGCAATGCTTTGAGAGTTTCCATATCTCCTTGCTGTCTTCAGCTCTGAATATTACCAGTTTGCTTTTTTTGTCTATCTGCCACATTGGTGGGCAAAAATATGTATTTTTTAAATTTCCTTGAGGTTGAGCCTTTGAATTTCCTTTGTCTCTCTTTTGGACTTGTTTTAACAGTTGGTAAAAGCTCCTCAGGAATAACTACCATCGCTATAACAGATAGATATAACTATAGATGTATATAGTTGGATAGATATAACTAATATCTATCATATTATAAAGTTATTATAAAAAACTAGTTATTATCGTATTATAAAGTCTAGACCTATTATTTCACCCAATGTAGAGTGGATCTCTGATTTTTTTTTTTTTTTCAGTAGCAGGGCTTGAACCCAGGACTTTGCAGTTGCTAGGCAAGAACTCAACCATTGACTTATGTCCCCCTCAGTCAGTTTATGTAAGATGTGCAATTGGGTTCATTTTTTTTTTTCATTGGTCTTCTTACCCAGAATTCTTTTCTCCTATTACTAACCTATGTAAAAAGATGAAGAGCAAAGGAAATAGGCAGATGTTTTTGTTCCAAATTGGAGAAACAAGGTACGAAAAGGCTCAGGGTCTAGCTGGCCAGAAGCAAAAGAAATGACCTTAAAGTTCAGGGTGAAACAAGTCTTTATCTTTTCTAGAAAACTGGATTTGCTTAGCTAACTCATTTAGGATTCTGAATAGGATCTATATAACTGTTTCTCTGTAACAGGAGTAGGAGTCTTGGGTGTCAGCCAGATTCTGAGTAGGTACAGTCTCAACCTCTCCAGACACTCAGACTCAGCTTTATACCTTCCCTAAAAGAAGTCAGGCCCAGTCACTGCCAGCCTTGACCTGAGCACCACCTGCAGGTCACATCTCCTCACAGCCTTCAGCAGCTGCCTTCCTGAATCTTTGCCTTTGATCTTTTCTCCTTCCTCTGTCCCCTGCCTGAACTTGGCAGAGAGTCTGGTCATAGGAGACCACAGGCCAGCTGGTCAATGGAGTTTCCTGTGGTAAGAAAGGAGAATGTTGGAGGTGATGATTGCTGTAGGCCTGAGGAAAGGAGCAGGAAGGATTGTACAAGAGCCAGAAAGCAAAAGCACTGAGACTGGCAATTCTCTCTCAAGTTGGCTTCCAAGTGACTAGAAGAAGAGGACATTCTGAAGGAGTCTGCTTCAAGAATACAAAGTTTTTTAAGTGGGCTGAGGCCAAGGAATCCTTTCTTACTGTGACCTTCTAGCAGAAATCACCTACTGCCCTCTGGATCATGCAGCCCAAGGCTTCTGAGATTATTTTCCACCCTACTACAAGGCCTTTAGTTTTTGACCCATGTGCTTGCCGGGCCTGGATTTGTACCATTGGCTGTCTTGCTGGCAGGCTCTCCCTGTGATTCTAAGGACCTGTCACTATTACCTGCCTGTTTGGAAAATGGACTTTGCTACTTTGTTCATGTTGAAGGACTGAGAATACAAAAAGATCAAAATAACTTAAATCACTTTATCAAAAGATTATTGGAAGACAGGAAGAAACAGATGGAGCCTTGGGATTTGAGCAAGGCTGTTATTCACTTAACTCTGACATGCCATTCAATACTAAGAAAGACCTGGCTTTCCTGTAGCCCTGAGGCCTAAATAAGGACTTTGAGGCAGGGCTATGAGAGGCAAGGGTCATAAAGAATGAGATTTTTTTCTGCTCATTGAGAGATACAGGAGAATGACAGAAGGGGCTGGATCACCACGTTGCACTCCGAGTCCTCAAACTGTCTTTCATTTGCATGTCTCTAGTAGGACAAAGAGTCTTGGACATCAGAAATGTGCCAACAAAGACAGGAGAGAAAAAGAAAACAGAAAGTACTCACATTTAATGAAAGTCCTCTGGCTCACTGTTGCAAGAGAAATGCTCAAAGTTCTTGGCAATCCCTCAAGCTTTATACTCAGAAACTCCATTTTAATTTCAGGTACCAAAAAAAAAAAGGGAAAATTGCCCAGGTGCGGTGGCATTCATCTTTAAAGCCCAGCACTCTGGAAGCAGAGGCAGGGGAGGGGGATTGGTAAGCCAGGGCTATATAGTGAGACCTTGACTCAAAATTGAAGAAAAAGGAAGTGGGGTGGTGACAGGGTTTGTGTCCTGACTCCTACCACTCCAGTCAGGGGGAGCTTTTGCTCTTCATGCTACCTCAATTTCAGCACCAACTGAATTTATTGTGTACCTACTTATTGCCATGAGCTCACTTTTCAGGACTCTTGAGAGCAGCCTTCTGCAGGACTCTTGTAAGCATTCCTGGAGGAGCTTCTTAGCCTGCTTCTTGGGGCTGTTTAACACCAGTGTAGAAGCAGTTTATCCCTGACAGAGTTTGGTTACCACCAGCTTCTCACCTCTTATTCCTAGCTGAAGTCCTACCTGCCTCCCACTCCCCAGCCTTTGGTCCTATTCGGTTTGTCTCATTTTCTCTCTTAATGCCTGGTGGTTAAAGGAGGAACAAGATTTTTTTTTTTTAAGCTGGGTGTGGTTGGTACATGCTTTATAATCCCAGCACTTGAGAGGTAGAGGAAGGAGGATGAGGAATTCAAGGCTACACTTAGCTTCATAGTGAGCTCAAGTCTAGTCTAGGCTCTATAAGACCCTGTCTCAAAAAACGAAACTAACTAAATGAGAACAAGTTATATTGGAGCAGGTAGCAGGGTATCTCTGTATTCTAGTCCTGGTTGGCTTCAAACTCATAATTCTTCTGCCTCAGCCTGTCAAGTGCTGGGATTTCAAGTTCTGGCACCAGACCTGACCTTGGTGCCAAGATTCTTGCTCAGTGTTGTGTGAAATAAGAATGAATTTAAAGGGCCTTGAATCTGCTGTAGTTTGGCACCCAGATAGAGGTACTCGTGGCACTATCTGTTCCTCTCATTCTCTTAATTCAGCTGCACCAGAGCACACAACTCCAAAAACAACCAAAGAGAAATCATGTTAAAAGATGAGAAAAAAAAAAAAAAAAGGTTATAACTTTGGCATTCAAAGCTCTGACTCTGCCTGCTCTCTCCTTTTACTCTAGACCCTTCCACAACAAAATGAGTAGCTTACCACTAATTATTTCCCAAGTGTGTCCCTGGACCAGCAGTATTAACTTCACTTGAGATCTTAAAAATGCAGTTTCTTAGCCTCACTGTATACCTACAAAATCAAAGCTTCTAGGGGCTCAGTTGGTAAAGTACTTGCCACACAAACATGAGGATCTTGAGTTTGGAGCCCTAGTACCACTTAAAAAAGCTGAGCACTGTAATTCCAGCTCTGGAGAGGTGGAGACAGGAGGATCCCTGAGGCTTGCTGTCCTCAGTCTAGTTGAATCAGTGAATCCACATTTAGTAAGAGACCCTGTCTCAAAAAACAAAACAAACAAACAAAAATACGATGGAGAATAATTGAGTAAAACACTTGACATCAACCTCTGCTTCCCCCTCCCCCCCCCCAAAAAAAAGAAGCTTCTAGAAGTCAGCTGGTTTGTATGTATTCTTAACAAACAGTACAGGTAATTTTGGTATATGAGAAATGCTTTTTGACTCAGTGGAGTTGTGCAGAGGGGCTTGTTAAAGCCAGTTATGGGTAAAAATCTTTGTGTGTGTGTGTGAGAGAGAGAGGGAGAGAGAGAGAGAGAGGGTTTTTCTCTCTGTAACCCTGACTGTCCTGGAACTTACTCTGTAGACCAGGCTGGCCTCAAACTCACAGAGATCCACCAGCCTTTGCCTCCCAAGTGCTGGGATTAAAGGTGTGTGCCATCATGGGTAAAATTTTTAGGTAGCTCAAAAAAGCAACAGCAGCTTAGGGGACTGGTGAGAAAGCCAGTCTTCTCCAAACAGTTTATAGACAGACCATCTTCCCTTTCCCTGTCTCCTTAACACAATTTAATCTTTGCTGGAGCAGATCCAACTCATGAGGGCACAGCAGAGGGCATGGAGAACATGGCAGATGCTGTCACTCATGCTCGTTTTGTGGGCACAGATCCTGCCAGTGATGAAGTTGTGCTGATGAAAATCCTTCAGGTGAGTGGGAGGGAAGAACAATTAGGCTAATGGCCAAGGGCTGGTGCTGCTGGCTGTACTTACCCTAGACTACCACAGCATGAAGCTGTGTTTTGACTCCACTGAGGCTGAGGGACTGTTTCCAAACAAGGATCTCAGGTACCCAAAGTAAAAGTTGTTTCTAAGGAAAACAGTTAAGAGCTTTAAATAAATTGTTATCAAATACAAGAAGCCATTAATACATTTGTATCTCTGGTAGACCGTACCTGGGTTGTCCACCTGTTAGTTCAGGGCCATGCTAAGCAAAGAAAAGACTCCCAAGTCAGGCACATGGGCGGCTCTATTTCTGTTTTTTGTTGTTCTTGTTGTTGTTTAAGACAAGGTTTCTCTGTGCAGCATGGTTGTCCTGGAACTCTGTAGACCAGGATACCATTGAACTCAGAGATCTGCCTGCCTTTGCTTCCAGAGTGCTGGGGTTAAAGGCCTGCACCACCTCACTCAACGTAATGTAAATATATATATATATA